GAGACTAGCCTGGGCTACAAAGTGAGCTCAAGGGCAGCCTGAACTGCATGGTGAGACCCTGTCTCAGAAAGACAAAAAAAAATTTAGCCACTCTAGTTTTTAAGGTTTTAAGTTTATAGCAATTAAATTTTTGCTTTACCATTCCAATTATTATTGTGTATCATAATTTAATTTTGGTCTAATAATAAAATAGAGTCCATGTTTACATTAGGGTTCACAACTTGTGCTGCATATTATTTAAAATTTGACGAATGCAAAATATTATCTCCTGCACCATTACAAAATCATGAATAATAACTTCCCTTCAAACTCCCTGCAACTAGAGTTCTATAAAAGTCTATGGGTGATTCTCATACTCAATAATTTTGATAGTGAAAAATGCAGAAGTTTTTTCCAGTTTTGCTGCTCTGCTTCATGGTAAACAAATTCAGATGTTTTCATAAAAGTAAGAATGTAGGAAGCCAGGTCTTTTCTTTTGCAGAAATATACTATGACAGCATATTAAGCCATGGAATTAGCATGTTGGAAAGTACTGAGCATTAGGCAGAACATCAAAGTTTAGACTTCAGAAATGCAATGTATTACTTTGTTAATTTTTTTTATTTAAAAAAAAGTAGTACCAAAAGAACAATAGCAAAATACAAACAACACAAAGCAAAGACATTAAAAATGATACAAGGTTTCAAACCAAATGATAGAGATTAACAGTGATTGTTATATTACACATTGTTATCTTCAACGAAGTTGCTCAGATTACCGATCTAAGAATAGGAGATTGATCAAATCATTAAAGACAATAAGAAAATAATAATTCAAAAGAACGTTAGAGACAACACATAGTGTCACTAGGCAGGATTGTAGGAATTCACCAATGGACAGTAGGCTGCAAATTGTTGTCATCATATATGTTGCTCAGATTGCCAGATACAAATATGCAAAATTGGTCAAAATATCAAAGAAAAACTTTTAAACATTAACTGTTCCCCTCAACAAACCATCAGACCCCAACAGTACAGTTATGCCACCAATCCATAATATATAAAATGCCTTAGTACTTTCTTTTTCTTCTTTCCCTCATCTCAGTTGTTCCTTCCTTTGAACAATTTCTTTCCCTTTCTTATTATCTATTGTACATATTAGGTTTTGTTTACTCTTTCATGTTCTTACTCCAGGGAGATAAAGTGATGTTTACACATGTGGGTCCGATTTATTTCACTTGTGAGTATGGGCTCTAGTTGCATCCATTTACCTATAAGAGCCTTGAGTTTATCTTTTTTATAGCTGAGTAATACTCCTTTGTATAAAGACACCACATCTTTTTTATCTGTTCCTCAGTGGATGGGCATTTGGATTATTTCCAAGATTTCTCTACGACAAATTGTGCTGCTATAAACATGGGTGCACATACATTGCTGTGGTAAGGTGTTTTTAATTCTTCTGGAAATATACCCAGAAGGGGAATAGGTGGGTTAAGTGGGACTTTAATTCTAGTTTTGCAAGGAATCTCCAGACTGATTTCTACAGTAGTTTCACCAATTGACTCTCCCACCAGCAGTGGAAAAGTGTTCCTTTTTCCCCACAGCCTCTCCAGCATTTGTCACTGGATGATTTCTTAACGATAGCCATTCTTTGTGGGGTGAGATGAAATCTCAGTGTTGTTTTAATTTGCATTTCTCTAATGACTAATGATGTTGAACATTTTTTCATATATGTATTTGCTGTCAGTATTTCTTCCTCTGAGAAGTGTGTGTTCATCTCAGATGCCAATTTTTGGATTGGGTCTTTGAATTTTGGGGGCCTGATTTTTTTTTTAATTCTTTATACATTCTAGATAGGAGGCCTTTGGAAGTTGGATAAAATTTTTTCCCAATTTATGGGTTTTCTTTTAACTCGGTTAGTGATTTCTTTTGATGTGCAGAAACTTTTTAATAAGGTGAGATGCCAGTTGTTGATTCTTTGAAGTATTTCCCATGCGCTTTGGTTTTTTTGATGAACTCTCTGCCTACCCCTATGTCTTTGAGAGTTTTACCTACTTTCTCTTCCAGTAGATTCAGTGTTTCTGTTTTAATATTTAGATCTTTGATCCATTTTGATATTAGTTTAGTGCACAGTGATAGACATGGGTCTAGTTTTAGTCTACTGCATGTGGAAAGCCAATTTTTTTTAGCACCATTTGTTAAAGAGGCTATCTTTCTTCCAGTGAACATGTTTGGCCCTTTGTCAAAAATAAGGTGGTTGATGTGTTTGTAGCTGTGTCTGTATCTTCTGATCTGTTCCATTGATCTTCAGGTCTGGCTTTTTTTTTTCAGTGCCATACTGACTTTATCACAGTAGCTTTGTTGTATAATTTCAAGTCAGGGATTGTGATGCCTCATACCTTTCCTTTGTTTCCCAGGATTGCTTTTGCTATTCTAGGCCTCTTTTGGTTCCAGATGAATTTAATGAATGTTTTCTTTAGATCTGTGAGGTATACTGAAGAAATGAAATTATCATTATTCACAAATGACATGATGCTCTACATAGAAGATCCCAAAACTCCACCAAAAGGCTTATAGATTTAATAACTAAATTCATTAGCATAGATGGATACAAAGTCAACACTCAAAAATCAATAGCATTCCTATACACAAACAACAAGAAGACTGAGAGAGAAATTTGGTAAACCATACATTTCAAAATAGCATCTAAAGAAATGAAATGCTTAGGCACCAATCCTAAAAAAGAAGTAAAAAATCTATACAGTGAGGATTATAGTACTCTGAAAAAAGAGACTGAAGAGGATTTCAGACAATGGAAAGATGTTCCTTGCTCATGAATAGGAAGGACCAACACTGTGAAAATAGCCATACTCCCTAAATTGTTGTACAAATTCAATGCAATCCCAATTAAAATACTCTGTTAACTTTGAGTAACTAATTTGGAATTTCTGCATCTAGTGTTATTACTGATTATTATTACCATTATTAAGATTCTTTAGGGAATGGAGAAAATATGTAGTTGGGAGTTTTGGGTTTTTGCTCTGTTTTTTTGCACACGTGACTCAGACAAGAATGGACAATGCAGGGAAGGTTCTGTGGCTGTACTTATTCCAGGGTGTATGAGGCTGTAACTTTTTAAACTCTGGGGGACATAGTACCTAAATCTTCATAAGTGAGACTGAGTCTCTCCAGAGCATTTCAAAAACACCTAACCATGAATCCTCTGGTGCAATCCATGTGCATCACCCCAGAAGTCATCCATGCAAATACCCCA